AAATGAGTAACCAAATAAGTTCTTTGGCAAATAGGTTCAAACTTTATCTTGGCCTGTTCGTAATGGCACTGTTAACCTTCAACTGGAGCCGTAATGGCAGGCTATAAAACATCTTACAACCGCTAATGCTTTCCCTTGGTTACCGATGCTCGTAAGGGCGATGTCAAGTATGGGAAGACATGAACCTTCCAGATGAGGGAACATTTCCGTCTTCCGTCAAATGGGGACAACGAACTGATTAGAGTGCGTAGGGAGGTCGCTTTTCGGAGCCTCCTCAGGAATGATCACCGCATCCTTATTGCTTCGTTGGGGCTACATTCTGACTTGATATAAGGTACAACCCAGTGTCTGAGGAAGTATCGGTGCCCAAAATTATTGAGATCATTTCGCCGATGACAGCTTTTTTTCAGGAACCGATTCCTTCGTGGTCAACTTGACGTCTGGTCCGATCGTCGAAGCAGAAGAAGGCGGAGAAGTAAGTTTTAAAGAGATCGTTACTAAAATTCAAAGCTTTCATTCCCAATTTTAGATTCTCGACAATCGACTATTGTCCATTCGATGCGATATCAGTAAAAATAGGATTTGTTTCAACGCGTGTGTCGACGGTGAATGGGGGAAGTAAGTACCATTTACGCTGACTATAAACGCTTAGAAAACAGTGCGTTGCACGGACCATCGCAAACTTTTCTTGCTGCTCTGTACTGCTCACTCTGACCGAAAAAAGGAAATGCTGTTCTTCATAATCGATTCGTACAAACTCGATTTTGGTGATCTAGAGAAGTTGAGAAGTTCTGAGCTACTAACTTGTAGCGTAACTATAGCAAACGCTTAAAAGGCAAATATCGCAAAACTTTTATCTTTGCCATGCAAATAAGTAGCCAATCATTTTTTGACCTTCCAACTGGAAAGGGATGATTCGAACAGTCTATGAATACTTTTTAAAAAAAGGGAAAATGTAAAAAAGTTTACATTATCAGCTTGATACCACTTGATCTTTTTCGGACATCTCGTTCATTTGAATTCACTTATTTTGTTTCTAGTTTGTCTTATTTTATTTTAGCTAAATTACATTTTTCTTCTTATTTTATAATTGCGATCTTCACTTACTCTATAAAACTAAAGAATAAAGCATGGAATGTAAGATATAAAACGAAGTAAAAAAATTTTTTCTATTTTTCTTCCCACTCAGGGGACTACACATAGGAATTGGTCCGATTTTTGGCTTACAATTAGTCGTTGCAGCAGATTACCTTTCTTTTTCGCTTTTTGGCTCTTTCTAGACGATGCCTCGGCTGGATGGGGGAGTAGGACCTA